GGTGCGTGAGCGGGCTTCGGTGATGCTCGGTGACTTTCCCAGCCCCCGCGATATTGCTGAGTGTCAGCAATTAGTCGCGTCATTCGGGTCCGAAGCAACTTTTGTTTGGGCTTGTGCGGCGTGTGGACGGATTTCGCTGCAAACAGATTCGGACGGTGTCCATTTTTCATCGCTGTCGCAACTGGATACTGTTCTCTTGTCTACTACCGAGCGGGAGTTATTGTTTAAAGAAATACCGGAGCCGGCATTACGGTGTTATCGACAGCTTTATTTTTCGGAGAAGACGTCTATTATTTGATACCCGAGCTGGTGCGAGATCGAGAAAAAAATCCTCTTTGTTACAAATGCAAAAGCGATCCATGTAAGAACGAATTTAGCATACGCGATGAAAGTTTGAGCGGTGGCGACGACACAGTGATTGTTCGCTCGTCGCCCGCTCTCCCGAATATTAAGCAAAGCGACCCGGCGGTTGTTCACGAGGTAATAGATGCTACGGCCAGGGTTTCCTAAAAATATATTGTAATAAGCAATAATTGCCATATTATGCCATACCATTATGTATTTCGAGCCGCACGACTCCCCCGTCAATAACTTATTTCGGTAGATTTAGTCCAGAGTAACATATTTTGTCATTTTGAAATCAAAAATTTACTTATCATAACCCTATTGTATTACTTAGTAACCAATAAGAAAGCGGCCGCTGGAGCTACTCGACAACCAACCGTTCATGCTGCTGCTCTGAGCTGAGGCCAGGCTCATTTGTAAATTCCGTGCTGGCATGGATAATCTTCTCTCCCCAACGCGATCACCAGTTTCTCGCTACACCAGAAAGCAGATCTGCGATGTATTTTTCAAGCCAATCCGTGACGAGAATGACGACTGTATGGGTTTCTATCGATGTCGCTGCGCCGTACAGCGGAAACAGGACGCCAAACGTGGCTACACGAACCTAATCAACTACACTTATAGTCAACATCCTGATTATGAAACTACTCTAGACAGTTTTCAAGGCGGCAACAATGGCACACTCTTGTCGTTCGTAGACAAAAAGAGCGCCAATATATTTGGATGGCTAGAGTGGATTGTTGATGCTAACTTGCCGCTCTCATTCTGCGAGAACAGCCTAACGCGACGCTACACGACCCTCAAGCCCATATGTGATGATACCTTGGTCCACTACATGGCAGCTGTTTGCCAGGAAGTGCTGCGCACGTTCAGCGAATTTCTCCCTGAAAGATTTGGTATCGTATTTGACGGGTGGTCTTTCAAAAGTGAACATTACGTGGGGGTCTTTGCCGCTTTTGGTCATGATGGTAAGCGGGAGACTGTACTATTGGCGATGGCGCCTCTACTAGACAAGGAAAGACTGCAACAACCATCCCCATCACGATGCTGATGCACATGTTGCGTTCCTCAAGACGATTTTAAAGCCGTTGAAGCGGCGCATCGAATGTGTCCGCTTCCTGGTCGGCGACAACTGTTCCGTCAATGGAAGCATCGCGTCAAGCTGGGATCCGTTGGTCAGCTGTGCCAGCCATCGACTAAATCTCGCTATGACCCAGTATCTGGACGAGTATGAAGACTTTCTGGAGAAAATCAACGATCTTATGAAGTTCCTGCGTGGTCTCAATCAGTCGGCAAAGTTAAGGTAAGCCGTATCTGAGTTTTATTCTATATCCGAGTTTTATTTAATTTGTTTTTATGCGGACTACCTACACACAAAACACCACTCCTGTCAGTGACGATGTCATGTCAATTTGACCAATTCCTTTTGTATATGAACAGATACGAGTTGGTGCAATACATTCCACCGACGTCTAATATTGCCGAACGTTTTTTTAGCCAAGCTGGAATCGTGTTGTCTCCTCAGCGGCAAGCCATGGCGCCGGCCCAACTGGAAAACATCCTATTTCTCAAGACAAATCGCCGATATTGGAACGTGGCAATGGTGCAGATGGTTGGTAAGCAGAATTGAATTTGAGGTATGCATAATGTATTTCATCTTTGTCAAGGGTGCAATAATATATTTCATGTCGGCTCTACCATGCTCACCATTATATATTTCATCAGTTGTTTACCATATAATTGCAATACTATTCTAGGAAACCCTGGCTACGGCAGCTGGTGTTTTTCCAGATTTGTTTCTTACAGGCTCGCGTCCTCTTCCGTCCGGGCCTCTTCCCCAACGTTACGTCGACCACTTTCTGCATTATTGGGATGACCGAAACCAATCTTCCCGGAATCGACGGAGGCAAAACGCCTTAGCGCAAGGCTACTGAGGCTACTTTCTTTGGTGGGAGGTAGCGTCCCGCTCTCGCCGTTCGAGAGGGCGGCGACACGGCCGAAACTTGGCGCGATACACGTATCGACAGCCTGAATGACCTCTTCTTGAAAGACGCTATTGATGCCGCTAAATAGAGCCAACCTCTTGTACACGTCGTCGGGCGGAATCGTATACAATGCCGAGTATCTTTTTCGCTGGCCAGACCACGCCCGACGAACGATTCTCACCTCTCGTCTCGGCTTAGAGCTCCCCTCTATATTGTTAATGCATTTACAGTCATGTGCGTCAATATGCAACGGTCTACAACTTATATATTTAAATACATGACATGTATACATGTACAATATAGGACTGTCGATCGGGCAAAGGGACCAGGTAGACGTACCGTCGATTTATTGCTATCCCAGCCTACCCTCCAGCCCTAGTTAGCAAAGTATTGTAGTCTTACTTTTGCCGACAGCACTACCAGTCCATTACTGAGCCTTTGAGGCCCGAACTGTTTACACTACATGAGCGATCTTGCTCAAAAACAACAGCTACTACTGCAGCAACAGTAACATTGTTTAGTAAACTGGAAACAAGAGGATGTTTATAGCACAGGGCTTAGTCATGAAAATACACCTGCTAGCTCCTGCAGATTGCCCAGACCAACATCTCTTTCTGTGCTAGCAAATGTTATTATAGATGGCGCCTGAACATGCATCTCCTCTAATGCACCTTAACGTTGCCATTTTCAAGGAGCGCTCTGTAGCCGTTACTGATGTACGTGATATCGTTTGCATTTTTGCCAAGCTTCGCCGTAGCATTTGAGACCTTACGCTCCGAATACCCCATATCCTTCCAAACGCCAAGAGCTTGATAGTACTTGTTGGTGTCTCGAAGAAACTCGTCGTAGAGCGCCGAGTTTTTTAGCCAGCTCTCCTTGATTTTAGTGGCACTGCTCCTGCTAACACCGGGAGGGCGATTGGGGCCGAATAAACCTCTATATTAACCACCTTGGTCCGTGCTATCCTCTTGGTGAGTACGTAGACACTCCTTTCGAGTCACTGTGACTCAAAAGATCTGTAAGCAGCACTCTGGAGTGGATTCAAGCGGATCCTGCTCAGGGCCACAGAGGATATGATGCATTGTCATTGTCGAGTAGAATGAAACCAGAAGCTGAGAGAATTGATTCTGCTTTAAATCAAGGCGGCGCTCTTGCAATTTCGCCGTTTGCTCCCGATCTTCTTCAAGTAAGCGTTCCATTCGGAGCTGGTGCTTGGGGTTTCTGCGCTGCCGCTTTGTGACGCTCGTACCATCACTTTAGTCGCTAGAAGCTAATCAAAATTATGTGAAGAGGAGTTAAGTCTTTATCATCTAGGGTAACAAACCTGCCACAGCACCGTCATCTGTCAGCACCAAACGTCTTCTTCCCAGCTCAGATACCTCTTTGTCATAAACTGTTCGGGCTACATTTCACGATGACGAAGGCCAGCGTTACGCAGTTCATCGTCTCTCTTCCGCTTTGCCGCATTCGATGTTTTGGTCACAAGATGATCCTTCTGCTGCTCTACCATTTCAGTGAGCTTCTCTCGGATACGAATCTACAACCAAGAGCGTCGTAAGTTTCATAACTAAATTTGTTGTAACCAGTACATGTACCTCGATTGCCGAGCGTTCATGTTCTTGACCGGTCTCAGCGTCAAGCTCTTTTTCACGGAGCACGTGCTCCTTCAGCATACTTTCGACCCAGCTTTGAATCGTCCGGTGGTTTGCCGTATAGCCTCATGACGTTCTAAGGTGCTCTGCAGCCTCAGCGACACGCGTTCCAAGCTTTCCGTAGGGGGCTATATGCGCTCTGTGTAGGAGTAGCTTTCTAGCACGGCTTCCTGTGCTTTAAAGTTCGTTACCCAGTTCTGGATTGATTGAGGTTTGCGTGCTTGGTTTGCACGTTGCTGGGCGTTAAGAGTAACCGAAGCAGCAGGCCGTTCCTCATAAAGTTGATGCCCTGGACCGGGATGCAAGTCTTGTACAGGATCGTTAAGCAGGTCTTGGAAGGCACGTCTTCGACGGCCATCAAGCTGAGTTGACGCTTTAGATCCTCTAACCAACGCATTATTAAAAGCAGCAGGGGCTCCTGCTATGGCAGAAACACTGTGTACTTGCAGATTATCTTGGTCATCGCCTGCGACTTGATCCGTCGACCTCACGCCTTCGCCGAAGATACACTGTGTAGGCAACCTACGGATACTTGGGGTGTTAAGGGAAGCTGGGACCATCGCCTGAGCATCACCAACAGCAATGTCGTCGCTGTGGTCTTTGCTCTCCTCCTCTGAAGACGACCAGTTGCGCACAAGTAAAGCAACCACGCTATCCTTCGCTTCCGACATCGTGTTGGCCTCCAACAAAAAATGTGGATTGAGGCGCTAGCGGTAGGAATGATGGTCGATTGGTTGAAGTGGGAGTGAAGGTCTTAGGTGATTTGGTGACTGCAAAGTGCTTCAAATTGTATACAGCGGAAAGGACGGTTTGACTGCAACAAACACGAGGTTTGCGGCAGCGAACTGATCTTTGCATCTTCATGGCCGACCAGAATGTTCGCAGTACATTTTATGTTGCGTTTTTGGCTGCAAAGTGCAAAGTGCAAAGTTCTCTTAACTGCCCCATTGTGTACTGTAATTTGTAGTGTACTGCGTAGTAATACGGTAGCATGAGTCGGATGAAAATAAAGATACCACATCAAATTTTACTGATACTCTTGCTGTGGGACTAATTGGCCGGTGTTGCCCTCCAATCACCACATATCATAATCAACTGCCTTGCCTGTCCGTACGAGCCAGTCAACACAATAGAGATCATGCCGCTTGGCGATGCGTAGCAAACGTGCCGACGGGATTGGCTCCGGGTAGTGTTGAAAGAGCCACTCGAGGATTTCCAGGTGGCCCTCAGCCACCGCCTTGATGGCCACGTCGGCTGTGCAATGGGTCAAATCTTCACGGTGAAGGAAATCAAGAATATCAAAGTGGCCACCGAACGCAGCCGCCTCCATCGCTCGGTTGTTGCACCCCATGCCATAGTTCAAGTGCAGCCACTGCAAGATATCGAGTCGCCCAGCTCCAGCAGCGTTGTTCATGGCGAACAGACTGCAGCCTTCAGTTCGATGCACTTGAAGCCACTTGATCATGTCGAAGTGGCCTTGACGAGCAGCTCGGTCCATGGCGTCGGCCGTGCAGCCTTCTTCTCGGTTAGTATGGAGCCACTGCACGACGGCCAAGTGGCCGAACGCGGCCGCATTGTCCATGGCCGCAGTCGTGCACCCTTCGCTTCGGCTCTCGTGCAGCCACTGCACCACATGCAGATGGCCGTTCAGTGCGGCGTCGTCCATGGCCGCAGTAGTGCACCCTTCGCTACGGTGTTCATGAAGCCACTTGACCGTCTCCAGGTGTCCGTAGGCGGCGGCCTGATCCATAGCAGCTGTGGTGCACCCTTCGGCTCTGAATTGGTGCAACCACTGCACGATTTCGACGTGGCCATTCTTCGCAGAGTTGTCCATGGCCTTCGTAGTGCAGCCTTCGTTACGGTTGGCGTGCAACCACTTGACGACGCCAAAGAAGCCTCTCCGTGCTGCCCCGTTCATCGCGATCGTAGTGCAGCCCTCTGTCCGGTTCGCGTGGAGCCACTGCACGACGTTCAAGTGGCCGTTTACTGCAGCCTGATCGATCGCGGCGCGCTCACAGCCCTCAGTTCGGTTTTCGTGCAGCCACTGGACAGTCTCCAAGTGGCCATTCGCGGCGGCCATGTTCATAGCGTTAGTCGTGCAGCGCGATCCATTTGCATGAAGATACCGGATCACTTCCAAGTGTCCGTTGGCTGCGGCTTGGTCCATCCGGATGGACGGACAGTCGCTGCGGAAACAGTGCTCAGTGAGCCACTTGATCGTCTCGAGGTGGCCGTTCTCGGCGGCATTGGTCACTGCGTTCACCGTACATTCGTCCGCCGCGCCAACGCTGTGTAGCCACTGGATCATGGCCAAGTCACCGTTGCGCGCGGCCACGTCAATCAAGAATTGGTGTTCTGGTGGTGTTGTGTGTCTATGCAGCCACTGCGCTGTATCTAGGTTGCCACCACGGACGGCAACCAGCATCTCGCGAGCGCCCCAGAACACTTCCAGCGTATCTTGCTGCTCGTGAAGCCACGCAAGCACCTCGACACGCCCGTTTCGGGCCGCAGCCTCCACGGCTTTGGTCACGCGTGCCTGCGGGAAGAGTACCGCCAGGCGGCGAAGCACTGCTATGTGGCCTCCCGCAGCGGCCGACGCCATGGCCGACGTGGCCAGCGCCTGCCGCTGCAGCTTCCCCATGTTCCGGATCTTGGCTATGTTTCGCGCGGCAATTCGGTCTACGAGATGCTCATGGCCGGCGCCACACGCCTCGGCCAGCGTCCAGAGCTGCGAGTTGTCCAACAGCACGTCCAGCTCGCGCGTCACGTGGTCTAGCGCCTCAATGCGCGGCCATTGGCGGCAGACGAAGGCCACGGACGTCAGCAACGGTGGTGAAGGTGGAAGCGGTCGTCGGAGGGTCTTGGCCATCGCAGTGAGAGTCGATGAGGTGGCGGCTAGCGCGGAAGTTCGGAAGTGTGACCATGAAGAGGTGCGAAAGCTGGTGACTCCAAGCAGAAATGAGCAATCGAAGCACTTATTTGAGAGTTGGCCTTACCGGCGGGAAGTATCGGATTTCAAAGGGGTATTAGATATTACGAATCGTTTATTAACATTATTGGTAGCGACTTGAAGTCAGAATCCACACCATCTGTACACCAAACCAGCATAACCTTTGAGTTTCTACCAATCCGCGCACGGCGCCCCTTCACCTGTTTTAGAAACAAAAAGTTCTTGGCTCCGCGACGCGGGAAGCTGCGGCAGGAGGCGTTGTTCTGCGCGATCGATTCTTCGTCTTCCAGGAGGATTTGGGCCTCAATCCGAGATGAATTTTGCGTGTCTAGTGTGTGAGCAGGTAGTGGGCGTAGTCCCCGCGGCGGAATCGTCTGATTCCTCCCCACAGAGCGCGCGCACTGAAGGCATCTCAGCCCCCCTCTCGGACGCTAAAAATATGGGTTTTATCGCTTCTGCTGATGAGATTTCGACGGGAGAACACGCACAGAACGCAGCATCAACGAAAATTAGCGTAAAAGTGGCTCGCTGCTGCGTGTGCGACGGTATTTACCATGCTCAGTGTCTACTCGAGCTAGGAAGCGGGCTAAAGACGGGGGAATCGACCTTTACGTGCTTGAAATGTCGCTCCAAGTCTACAAAGCTGACCAGGAAGGAGAAAAAGACTCTAGAAGATGACGCTCTGCCGATTCTAGTGCCGGCGCTGGCCTTCCCGTACGTGCGAAGACCTCAACTCGCCAAAAATGACGGGAAAACGACGCGAAGACGTGAATTCTTGGTAGAGAATGACGGAAACGAAGACAAAATGACTGTGGATGATGACAATACCAACTGGGACGTGTATTCAATCGCAGTGGAGGTGTGTACGACTTGTCGACAGGTGCAGATACCCGCTGAAGAGAAGACCAACTGCCAGAACTGCCACACTGCACGTCTCCACGGACGCTGTGTGAGTCGCTATCAAGCTGGCCATGGAGGAGATGCGAAGAAGAAGAAAGTGTACCGCGGAACAGGCAAGAAACGACGTCGCTCGTCGTCTCTAGCCTCGTTGGAGTGGTGTGCGCCGTGTGTACTGGACACTAACAAGCAGGCGAAGCAGCTAGTGGACGGATCTATTGAGACGCGCACCATTGCGCTGCTAGTGAACGACGAAGACAAAGCAGAGGGTCAAGTACAGTGGTGGACGGACTGTTGTATGTGCAAGGGACGCTTCTGCTTGCAGGAATTCTGCGACGCTCAGGACACAGACGCCAGTTTGGATCACGTGGCTAACGCGCCCCTAGAGGACGAGACGGAGTGGTGTTGTGCTCATTGCGCGTCAGTTGCCCAATCCCTCGCTTTAGTGACAGTAGTCATTTGCGACGGCTGCGATGGCGAGTTCGACATGGCTACATTGAATCCGCCGCTGGCAGAAGCCCCCGAGGGCGACTGGTTCTGCTCTGCATGCAGCTGTAAGACAGAGTCGACGGCGGTCGCTCCGAAATTAGTGACAACGCTGAAATGTGAGGGCTGTCAACGTGAAATCGACCTGAATCACATCCAGCCACCGCTGACGAGTGCTCCGAACGGAGACTGGTTCTGTCACGACTGTGTAATGGACGCTGCGAGTGCCGCTCCAAGTGTGAATAGCGCGGCGGTGTCTCTGGTCCCAGTGACGCTGTTGATCTGTGACTTGTGTGACTGGGAGTACGACATGAAGGCACTGGATCCCCCGCTCACTGAAGTGCCCAGTGGCGACTGGTTCTGTCCAACGTGTAGCGCGCAGCAAGGCAAGAGTCGCAAGAAGACCACGCGGCGTGGGACCAGGCCCTTACCTGCGCTACAAGCTCCTTCTCCTAAGCTTGAGGTGGTCGTGACGGTCTTGTTGTGTGATGGCTGCGACCACGAGTTCGATCCGTTGACACTGAACCCGCCACTGCTCGAGATCCCGGACGGCGAGTGGTTCTGTCCAGCGTGTAGTGACGTTCGTGAAGGCTTTCAACGCTGTGTGGGCTGCGATACGAGATTTCACGCAGGAGGCAGCGCTGCGGATCGTTTGCATCGTCCGAGTGGCACAGTGGACGGTGTGATGCTGTGTGAAGCCTGTCGAAACTTACAAGTCGAATACACACGCAGACGCTCGGAGCCTGCTTCGAACGCCAGCCTTGAAGCGAAGACTACAGCGGTAAGTAGGAAGCGAAGTCGAGGGACAGAGACCCGGAAGAGCATTAAATTGCAGAAAACAGAGCTTGGTGGGCCTCCTGCAACGCAAGGCAGTGCTGTAGTGGTGGAACCCACGAGCGTATCGTCCAGAAGTGCTTCTGTAGAAGACACTAGCGGTCCACGGATCCTCATCCCGAAGCCGATCACGATGGTGGCGTCGTCTTCAAGTCTTCGTACGGAGTTCGAGGGCTTGAAAAGTGGCTGGAGCTATACGAACCCGACGGTGGTCGTGGCAGACCCCGGCGATAACGTGGCCGCTAGCAACATGGCCGACGAAGAGAGCGGTGTGTTCATTGTCTGCGATATCTGCTTCGTAGAGTTCAAAATGGCCGATGTTCTCGGCACGGACGACGCTGCTGCAGTCCCTGCGCGTCCGTGGTTCTGTAAACCGTGTCTGCGCGCTCTCAAGCGCGGTCGGAAGAAGCGGCCGCGTTTCTCCAAGCAGATGGTGCTGGAGATGCAAGTCTACGGCCGTCTCTTGCGTGCTACAGCTGCCAAAGTCTCGGATATGGACGCGGTAATTCGAGTGGGGAAGATCCCGAACTCGCGTGAAGAGCGACGCCGCATGTACGAGCTGGTGGGAAAGAGTGTCGGCGTGTTCTTGCAGTGGGACAAGCAGTGGGTTATGGGGCGAGTCGTGGCCTTCCACGCTACGCACCCGTCCAAGCACCATACGATCCGCTTTGAAGACGGCGTGCTGGCGTCGCTGCCGCTGTACACGTTCCCCATAGTGATTGGCACGCGTACGATGCTCTACGTGAAGACGCCAGCGCTGCAGAACCAGTGGTGGCCGGCTCAAGTCCTGCGACTGAACGCTCTGGCCAAGAAGCTTTTACTGCCGACGCAAGAGGAGGAGACCGCTGCGCGTGTGAACTTTCGTCTTGTCCGGGTATTTGCGAGCAGTGAGCACGTGGAGACGACGCAGTTTGTGTCGTGTTGGGTGCCCAAGTATCTCTGTCGAAGCATGAAGCGCTTTGCTGCTCCCGACACGAGAAATGACGACGAGTTGCTGTCCAAGTCACTGGAACGCGCGCAGAAAGAGCTGCAGATGGAGACGGAGTGCTCGAGTCGCTTCTTCCAAGCGTTAGTGGCGGGTTTTCGACGGGTTTTAACGTCCACTCCACCGCCCGTGAAGCTCACGAAAGGAGGTAAACGGGCGTCAGATGCCTTTGATCGATGCACGCAGATCGCGGACGTGTTGGTCGGGAAAGTTATCGTGGTCCTGTCGGGTGTATTGGTACCGGGTGCGTACATGGTGAGGACGTTCGACAAAGGACTTCGAAAGAAACACACGCTCACGCGTCAAAACGGAAGATACCGAGCGATGACGTCGTGGTTGATCTACTTGAAGGCACGGACGGCGTAGTGTATCATCTGGAAGACGTTAGTACACTCAGTGAAGTCGCTATTCTGCTCGAGTTGAGTGGCTCGGACGTGGGGGGAGGCCTCCCCGGGGAGTTCCACTCGAAAGAGCTGCTGGAAAAGGCGATTATACGAGAAACTGGCGTCGCGTTATCGGCAGCAGAAGAGAGACGCGGAGATGCGGGTGGTACGTGTAGCAACTGTTTGTTGACTGCGGACGAGTGTGAGGACGACACGGACGCTGTAGAAGAAGAGCTGTTGGCGTGCGCCCAGTGTGACAACCAGTTCCACGCCACGTGCTGTGATCCGCCACACGCGCCGCTTTCGCTCGTGAGTCCAGACGATGGAGACGTTCTGGTTGCAGATCTCAAGACGCCGTTCGTGTGCAGCGACTGCACGTCGTGTGCTGGCTGTCGCTGTCGGAAAAGCGATGAAGCGCGCGCAGAAGAGCCGAGTCCCAGATGGTCGCAATGGCGGCTGCCGCTACAGACCGCTGCGCTGTGCACCACGTGCATCCCGTACTACAAGGCGAATCGGTTCTGCGGCGTCTGCAACTTGGTGCTGGACGACGAGCAGCTGGCGACCAGTGTGGATCTGCTGACGTGTGCGACGTGTCACCACTGGATCCACGCAGACTGCGAGCCAGATCCACATCCGGCTTTCCACGCGTGCAGTAGTGCTCGTGAGTTCGCTCTAGATGTCGTCACGGGTACGTCAGACGCTCGGGATACTCGCGAGGTGGATGCAGAGTCGATCTCGACGCCTGTGGGCAGTCGGAGTCCGTCGGAGGAACGCACTGCTGTATCCAGCGGCAAGAGTAGTGCAGCTAAAGATGACGGCGCCGCGAAGACGGCCAAGCAGGTGGAGGAAGACTTTGCACTTTCGTTACGCTTCGGATCGGGCTATGACCCCAAGATGCTGCACAATTACGAGTGTCTGACGTGTCGGAAGGTGCGCATGCTGCATGTTCTGCATCGCCTGGGCGGCGAAGACAAGCTGGTGCTGTTCCGAGAGCCCGTGACCGAGGCCATTGCACCCACGTACTTCGACATCATCAAGACGCCGATGGATCTGAGCACGATGCAGCACAAGATCCTGGCGGGCAAGTACACGAGCGTCAACCTCCGTGCGTTCCGAGACGACTTCGAGCTCATGTGTCTGAACGCCGTCACGTTTAACACGAAGGAGCGCGACTTTTTGATCTGGCGCGAGGCGTGGCGGTTCTACGGCCAAGGCCAGCGGATTTTCCGACAGACGGCACCGAAGGCGCGTATGAAACAACGTGGAGGACGTCACTATGACGCGCTGTTAGTGGCTGCGAAGCGGCAGTTGCCTAACAATTCAGCGCTGGCTCAGGCCACGGGCGAGTCGATCGGTGGCGAAGGTGGAGAGAACGACGAGGACGACGAGTTTGACGACGAAGACGACGGAGACAACGGCTCGGATGCTGGCTCGGAGGCCGCTACGCGCGTTCCAGACAACGCTGGGCCTTCGACTGGCGCTGCGGCGTTGGTATCGGACGCGGCGTCAGTGCACGACAGCGATACGAACAGTAACGGAATGGAATCAACAGTGAAGAGCAGGAGCGACGCTATCGGTGACGCTGGTGTGGCTGCATCGAATGGGAACGCGGTGGCGGTGGAGACGGAGCGACGGATCGTGACGAACGACGCGTTCGTGCACCAGAGCAAGCTGCGTATTGCCACGTCGCGCTCTCTTGTCGCGCTGTTTCAACTCGTACAGACACGGACGTCGGCGCACACGTACAGCTGGCTGGATCAGTGTGCCGTGTGTGGGAGTGCCGGCCTGTCTAGTGAATTCATCTTCTGCGTGGACTGCGGAGAAGGTTTCCACTCGTTTTGCGTGTCTGGGATGAGTGCCGCTCGACTCGAAGACAGCGACCAACTGCGTGCGTATTGGCGTTGTCCGAACTGCAAGATGTGCGAGATCTGTGGCCAGCCAGGAGCTGTCTGCGGTGCAGAGAGTAGCGCACGTGTTCCTGCTACCGCGGGCAATGTGGACAGCCCCAATACAGACACGGAGACGTCGTTGGAATTAGCGAAGACGGAGTCGCTGTTGCTATGTGGACACTGTGATCGAGGCTTCCACGGCTCGTGCTTGGTGCCGGCTATCAAGTTACCGTTGAATCCTAAGAAACGCGATGGGACGAGCTCGAGTCCTGTCATCTACTGCGCCAGTTGTGTGTCGTGTGTCAACTGCAAGAGCTCGAGGGAGTATCTCGACTCGGACGTAGCCCCGAACGACCATCTCGATGCACTGGAACGTACGTACAGCTACGAGCAGGACAAGTGTCTGCACTGTCACAACCGGAAGGAGCGTGAAGTACAAGCACTTAGAGAACGGACCAGATTGCTGACGGAAGTGTGGATGGATGCAGCGCGCAGAAGCAAGAAGGACGCCGAGAAATGTCCGCTGTGTCGAAGGAAATGGGACGCGGATCTTGAGGAGTTGATGCAGTGTGACGCCTGTGAACGTTGGGTGCATCCGCCGTGTGACGACCTGTTGAAGAAAGAGCCCAAGCGGTACCAGACGCTCGTGAGCGACCCGAACGCCGTGTACGTCTGTGCTGCGTGTCGTCCTCAAGAACGTCAACATGTCACGTCGAAAGTCTCGGACGGTGAAGGATGGCGTTGCCAGGCGCTTATTGCGGACATCCAGCGTAAACGTGTACAATGCGAGTCGAGCTGGAAGGAGACGCTGATGCAGATGGAGCAAGTGGAGCGCTGGAAGCGTCTGGCAGACAACACGCCGGTGTACCTGTATATCTTGCGTCTGGGTGAGGAATGTCTGCGCACGTTTGCGTACCGAAGTCTCAACTTCCAGAGCGATTGGTACCGGTTGACGAAGCAGCAAGAGCTGGATGACACGGGCGTAGTTATCCCCGAGTGGCTGCTGCGGAAAGCGAACCGGTATATGCGATTCAAAAGGTACATGCGTGGGCCCCGTGCCGCTGCTCGACGTCGTGAACGCAAGACGCAGAGCTTTTATTCGAAGCAAGCGGTGGGGCTGAGTACGCAGAAGGATGCGAGTGCGATCTGTATGATCGTGTCGGAAGCTGCGAGCTGTGCGGCCTTGTTGGCGTGTGTGCATCTGCTGTACGGGTGGAGACCGCTACCAGAAGTTGTGATCCACTTGCTATCTAGCGATGAGGGCGGCGCGGAGCCTCGAAAACTGAAGGAAGCATTGCTCAAGCGGCTGCGAAGTGGCGATGGTGATGCACAGGAGCCGAGAGCGAAGCTGGAAGCCGAGATCGCGACTATCAAGGAGCAGTATGATCGCAGAGTAGACAAGAGACATCTCGTGCATGAACCCTCGTCCGAGCTCACGGTATTCGGCCTCGGAGATGCCACCAGCGCGGCGGAACAGGACGAAGAAGAGAGCAAAGAAAACGACTCGGAGACGCCGCACGCGGAGGAGCAAGAGGCTGCTGTGTCGCTGGTGGCGTCGTCGTCGTCCTCGAGTTCGCGAAGAGTGGCTTGCATGACTACGGCGCCGCCGCTACATGGCTGGCCGACGAGTGACGACGATAGTGCGGCAGCGTTCGAAGACACGCGGTTCTGCGCGCTATGCTTCATGATTGGCGATAATTCCGCGTGTGGACGCTTGTTGTACACGGAAGCGGAGACGTGGGTGCACGTCAACTGCGCCATGTGGTCGATGGAAGTATACGAGGACGTGTGTGGCGTGTTGCACAAGTGCAGTAAGGCCAAGCACCGCAGTCGGTTGATACGTTGCGACGCGTGTGGCCTCATGGGGGCGACGATTGGCTGCGCGATCTCACGGTGCACTCGACACTTCCACTTCCCGTGCGCAGTGGACGCGGGCGTGGCGTTTCTACCGAACGGCGAGACGTGCTGTCCCGTGCCGGCACATCTGGATATGGTGGCTCGAAGACTCGAGACGGCGAACGGAGGAGTGACCTTGGAGGCGTCTGAAACCGCCCCGCAGGCCACGATCAACGCGGAATCAGCCGACGATGGCGACGTGTCCAGCGCGGAGCAGACTGCGAGCTCCGAGGAGGAAAACAAAACTCAAGATGCTGGCGAGACGGGGCCCAACACCATAGTAAAGGGAGAGATGATGGAGGTGAGCGCAGAACCGAATAGTGGAGTACCGGAGCGTGTAGCAGAGTCCGTCATGAAGTCCCAGGGACAAGAGGAACGTGGAGAGAGCGTCCAGAATCTTGAGGAGACGAAGGCGAGTGAAGTGACGCGGCCACAACACGTTCTACCGGTGATCAACCCTCGTCCCGAGCCTCGCAGATCTCTGTTCAGTGACCCGCCACTGGTGACAGTGTCGGACTTGAAGAAGAAGAAGCGGGCGGAGATGAAACGCGGCATCAAGCCCCGGCCTATGTGTTACCGTATTGGAGCACTGACCGTGCACTCCCTCGGCCACGTCTTCGTCGGCAACGCAGGCTTCCACACGCGAACAGCGATCTATCCGTTAGGGTTCCGCAGTACGCGTATCTTCTGGAGTACTTGCCACCTGGCCACTCGCTGTCTGTACGAGTGTGTGATCTCCAGCTCCGAGATCGAGGAGCGACGTGCTCGACGACTGAAGAAACGGGAAAACGGCGGCGTGGACGAGGACGAGGACGAAGACAGCGAGTATGAGCAACAGCGACGAAGACCTCGCGTCGTGTTCAAGATCACGCCGTCGGACGACCAAGAGCGACCCATCGTGGCATCCACGCCTGAAGACGCGCTCATTGAACTCCGCAGTCGTGTCGTGTCGCTGTATGAAGAGCAACGAGGCTTCTCTGTAAGTCCACGGAGTGGCCAGAGCTCAGGAGCAGAGAGGAACCCGTTCTTGAAGCGCAGTTCGTGGTTCTCGTTCGCACTTAGTGGCGACTACTTCTTCGGCTTTGGGTTACCAGAGATTTCTCGGTACATTGAAGAGCTGCCGTACGCTGCCACTACAGCGATAAGTCGTCGCGCGGTGGTACGGAAGCTTCGACAGCAACAACAGCGTCAAGGACAGAGTCCTCTAGCTGGGTCCGCGGCGGCGACGTGGGGCTCTGGCGCGCGTAAACGCAGCCACGACAGCATGGAGCAGAGCGCTGTGAACGCAGCGCAAGTCATCTCGTTGATGCTCGAGGAAGAGGAGGATGAAGAGCTCTACGAGTTCAGTCAGACACTGCCGTCAGCAGAGACGTTCCAGACCGCAGAGCGCGTCATGGAGCATCTCGTACGAGCCGAACAACGCGCACGCCAGTCTTCTGGCTGTGCACGGACCGATGGCTTTGAAGGCAATCGGCTGTTTGGATCGCCCAAGAAGGCCAAGATCATGCCAAGACGCCAAGCTTTGAGCAAGGAGGCGACCAATGAACCAGTGCTTGGAGGCAACTCGAGTGGCGTGGCGATGGATATCGAGCACTTGCCCATCACAATGCAGTATCGCGAGCTACGACGACGACCGTTTGACGAGCGAATGTTGGTGAGGAAGTCGTCGATCCACGGCTACGGATTGTTCCTGAAGGAGCCTGTGAGTGATGGCCAGATGATCGTGGAGTATCAAGGACAGATGATTAACCAGACGATAGCAGATGAACGAGAGCGACGCTATGAGGAGCAAGGCGTCGGCAGTTGCTACATGTTCCGTCTGGATGAGAAGACGATAATTGACGCGACGCGGTGTGGGAATCTGGCGCGGTTTATTAATCACTCGTGCGACCCGAAGGCCTTTGCGCGCATTGTGGCGGTGGAAGGAGGAGAAAAGAAGATTGTCATCTTTGCCAAGCGAGCGATTGCAGTGGGGGACGAGGTGACGTATGACTACAAGTTCCCTATTGAAGATGAAGCGATCCGATGCGACTGCAACGCCCCCAATTGTATCGGCCGCATGAATTAGTTTCGACGTTTAATCAACGCAGCAGATTTGTTTTTTCTTGCGCAAACGTAAACGTTTAAAATGTTTTTACACAAGAACATTTGCATGAAGCACATAATATGCGATATACATGTAGAAGGCTCACTTACGTGCTGAAATCAGTGCTGAAATCAAGACATAACGTAGCACATGATTAGTTCTACAAAACCCGCGGTAATCGACAGTCGGTCAGTTGGACATTATTATAGATACTTCTCTCCCCCATGAACCCATCGTAAACGACTTCGTGCAAGCTGATACGCTGAAGCTAACACGACAAATGCGATCACATCTATTGACTTTGTATTCCTTACACCTGCCACTTTAGTTGCCTATACTACACCGTCCCACGCGGGTTTATCACCCATACACTATTTTTCTTGCACAGTTTCAGCTTGATGCTACTTGTTCCTCAACTTGTCGCCGGTAATCGGTTGGGCCTCCTGGTGACGATGTCTTCGTCTTCGACTCCTTCTTGCTCTCCTTCCCGACTGACTTGACGTCGGCAGCGTCCGCGGACACAGTCGCATACTCCTTCTGATCATTAGCAGTCGCAGACTCTTTCTCGCCACCAGTAGCACTAGCACTTGATGCCACCAACTCATAACCAAAGTAGCCCGGGTATCCATAGTTGGAGTAGCCGTATCCGTTACTGTGAGAGCCGTAGGAAGCGTCGTAATCCGGGTAGTATCCATTTCCTTTGCCATACCACCATCGTATGACGAGTAGTATTTAAAGTCAGGATAGTAACCGTAGCTGCCGTATGACGAGTAGTAATCGGGGTAGTAGTCGTTTCCATACCCCTTGTCATAATTGTAGTAGTCGTTGCCGTAGCGCAGTCGTCGCCAGGTGCTCCGAAATAATCATTGTATTGGAGTTTCAAAACAATATTAAACAATACTTTTTTATTTTGAGATGCCAGATATCACTTTCAATAATTTATTTTTCCATGGTCTTTTCAGTTTTGTTTTTCGTATCCCTTTCCACGTTTTTAACTTAAAAACCATTTTAAATGGAAGGCGTATTTTGGCTGCAATTATTTATTTTCGCTGATGATTTCAGAGAAACAAAATCTTATTTCTAAGGGCTGTGATAATATTTAGCTGTAGCTGTAGCTGCCACCATATCCCTTGTTGTCGTCGTTGCTCCCGTATCTTTGTGCTTATAGTCGCTGAGCTTGTAGTCGTTATGCTTATCGTCACGGTTGCCGTAGCTATCACGGCCACAGTCATCGTTACCGGACCAGCAGCACAAGCATGACCACGACCACGACCGCAACAAACACCAGCACCAGCACCACGACAAGAAGGACCACGACAAGAAGGATCGTCCGCGCTACTACGACCGTCGCCTGGAAGATTTAAAGGCCACCAAGGCTACCGAGTCTTCGGACTACAGCTACGGCAAAGACGTTTATGGTCACGGTCACGACGACCACGACTTGGCGCCCGTAGTCCTTGTACGACCCGAGTTGGCGACGTGGGGCCGCAAAATTAGCCATTATACGAGCGTCGGTTGCCTGCAGGATAGAAGCAGCGACACAGGGCGAGTATGGCGAGGAAGTTGTAGTGCATCTTGTCAGAGAACTGCAAAAGTTCGTGAGAAGTGGTTTGGCTGGGATTGGAGTATGTCTGTCGAGTGCTGAAGAGGAGGCAAGATGGCAAGTGAGAGAGCGAGCAACAGCCGATCCGATCGAGCTCTGGACTTGGTGGTGCATTAGCCATCGTGGTCACCTCTCGAATCTTCACACACTTTCTCTATTTTCGCCAATTTAATTTGTTGCAAGGACTACATTGATATCCTATATAAGATGGCATTAATTCAAGTAAATAAACAAAAAAAGCGGTAAGATCCAAGATAATCATCATGTTAGCAATGCAGTGCAACTTGGTTTCTGTGTTGTAGCGTTTATCCCGCAACTGGGTGAACAACATCAGAAGCTCGATCTACATATTTAGTTGTATGTCAGCTTTCCGTTGCGAATTCTCTTAAACCAGTAAAGGTACTTCGCGTACTTTTCGTCATAGAAAGCCCCCATCTTGTCGAGTGTGTGCTGCATCGAGTTACCCTTTGAGATCTGGCGCACAATCCAGGCATCTGCTTGTTCGAGATAGTGGGCGGCCTGGACGATTTCCGAGCCACCACGTCCCTCCTCTTCGTTTTATTGAGCTTTAGGATCCGTCTTGTCGACACGTAATGCCGGAGAATCCGCAAAATATTGTACCGGTACCTGTAGCGGCAGAAAATGAAGGGGCTTAGTAATCAAATCCCCATGGGGGGCTCAATTTTGATATGACATTTAGATATGTGATAAAACCGCCCATTTTGAGTATGATTTTGGTGTTAAAACCGGCTAATTCGCAGTAGTTTTGTCGCTACAGGCCCCCCAAAAAGGTGTCCCCGAGGACCTTTAAACGGGGAAACAGTTGCTTTAAATATAATACATGTACTTCGAAGTAGAAGTATAATAGTAGTTTCTCCCTTAATAACCTCCGTTGCTGCCATTTTAACGGTGGCCCCTCACCATTGGTTGAAAGTCTATGTGACACGCCTTCATTTCCGCTTAAATACGAACAGAAATTCTCTCCCTCCGTCCGTTCTTCCAGAATTCGCCGGCATGGTGAAGCTATTCTGTTCGATCGTAGGTGTGGCGG